CCCTTCTCCAGGTGGGAATCTCCCTGCAGGAGCTGTCCCAGCACTCAGCAGTGCCCTGGGCACCCACTGACCTGCACCAGCTGCTCCGTGTGCTGGTGGAGCTCCTCCAGGATGGGCAGGGTCTGCTCGGGCAGGCAGTGCTCCAGGATCCGCTGGATCACCCGGCAGCCGTAGGGGTGCGTGGACAGAGCAAACACCTGGGGACAAAGGACAGCCAGCAACATCCCATCAGGCCTTGGGAATCCCAGAAACCTGCCAGGGTTCCTGCAGGGAATGCCAGCACCAGCTGGGAAACACCCACTGCGATCACAGGCACATCCCATCCCCACCTGGGGAAATCTCAGCTTCCCCATCTATAAAAAACAAATAGTAAAACCTCTTGATTCATAAAAAAAAACACCCCTGGAACAACCAAGCATTGCTGGAAGCTTGGTTATTCTTTCCAAATTATTCCAGCACATTGTTTGCCAGCACAAATTTTAAGCTATTCAAGAAATGCTATGAGCCAGAAAAGTTAAAAATGTCCAGCAAAGGATTTTCCTCAACTGTTTGGATTTGTTTAAAAACCTTAACAGTGCTTAGGAGAAGTGACAACAAAGAATCTTTCTCATTTCTAATGGATTAGCAGATCTGTGGGTGAGAACATGACACATTCTCTTATTGCTGCTCCGTTTTCTGTCTGAAGCACAAAGTCCCGTTTGGTTGCTTTGATTTAACAACAGCAGCAAATCCAAGCACTGAAGTTTAAATCAACACTCACACATTTTTAATAACTGGTGAGCAAACCCTGCAGGGAAACAGGGCTTGGAGTGCAATTAACTGCAGGAAAATCATCTGGAGGTGCTAAGTTTAATCTGCTGTGTGAAGGTTCAGATAAAACTGTGACAACTGGTCAAGGAAATGTCAGCGCCATCAGCTGAGCTCCCAGAGATGTTTCTGCCTTCCCAAACTCCCAGTGGAAAATCCAAGCCTAAACTCTAATCAGGAGCAAGTTTCCAGGCAGAATCCTGCTTGTTCTGACCAACCAACCAAATCTCAACTTTCCCCAGACTCCCAGCTCCTGGCTCCTGCTGTATCAGCCCCTGGCTGCACTCACATCCCTGGGTAAAGTCCTCAAAACTTCAAAGTGCCCCTGCAAAGCCAATTAATTTGAGGTTGGAAACACCCCAAAAGCAGCACTTTTGTAGTGGGACATGAGGCAGGCAGAGTAAAGCCAGCCACAACTGATACCCAATGATCAGTTCAGGAGAGGACACCAATAAAAAAGCAAAGAACTAAGAGAGTCAAGGAAAATTGTCCATTTCTAGATGAAACTCCTGCATTTTCCCTGCTCTGAGGCCCCTGGGAATCAGCATTCAGCATTCCTCTAAGCCACCTGCACAGACAGGGATCCCAATGAGCTCTGCTCTCCTGTGCATCCCCCATTTTCCTCTCTGCTCCTTTTAAAGAGAAATGAATCTGAAATGCACAAAATTCACCAATTCTTTGGGTTATCAGGGTCACCTGTCACTAAAAGGGGATCACCTCTGGGCTCAGACCTTGCTGGGATTTTACAAAAGTGAGGTAATAATTACGGAATTACTGAAGTTTAGACATGGCTAAGGTACCTCAGCAGCACAAACTCTGCTCACCACCTTCACTGGAAGATGGATTGGGGAGAGCCTTGTCACTCAAAACTACTCAATATTCCAAGAGAACAGACTCGTGCAAGGAGGTTTTACTCTGACAGCTCTGCCCAGAAATGGTAACACAGATGTGACCAAGGAGTTTCTGGACCCTCACGTGGCTGAACCAACCCTGCAAGCACCAGCTGCTAAAACTGAGAATCCCCAGGAGCTGAAGTCCCAGCCACTCTGAGGCTGCTCCCAGCTGGCAGCAGGAGCTGGGCAGGGCCTCACCTGTCCCTTGAAGGCATCAATGATGAACTGCAGGGACTGGGGCTGCACACACTCGATGCACTTCTGCACCACGTGGTTCCCGTTCTGGTCCTTGACGCACTTGAGCACGTGCCCGTCCAGCTCCCGAACCATCTCGTTCTACAGAGGGCACAGCACAAACAGAAAGCACCACCAGCATCCCCAGCTCAGGGGGCACAGCACANGGATGGATGGATGGATGGATTGTTGCTGCACTGATTTCCCATATCTCCCCATAGCTGGACACAGCATCCCAGGGCAGTGAATGTTCTGACTATCCAAGGGGTAGTGACAACTTAAACCCCATGAAAATAAATCAGATAAAGCAAAATATACAAGAATTCCTGGTTAAATTCAGGAGCTTGGATTAGAGCTACCCTTCCACATCTCCATCTTCCTCCATGACACACCTCACTTTATAACTGTTATAAATAACATTTTTTATGAAGCAGAAGTCCCTTTCACCTCCCCTACACCCACCCCTAAGCCTTCTGCAGCTCCTCCATGTGCCCATACTCCCAGAGGGAGAATTTCAGGAAGGAATCACTACCTGGCAAATTTATGTTGACTCAACACAAGCACGTTGCCTCTGATTTCTGCTACGATCTTGCTCTTGTCCTCGGGCCGGCCGTGCTCCAGGACGTGCTGGATAACGTAATTCCCATACTGATCCTGGGGGGAGACAGCACAAAGGGACACAGAAGTGGGTAAGGGACTAGAAGCGTTCCCAGCAAACTGATTCCCAAAGTGTATTCAGAGTTATAAGCTCAACTGAAGATTAATTATAATGTTTACTGTACAAATCAGATCAATACTTTCTATTTCTGCAAGAATGTGCATTCCAGGGTGGTACCAGGTGGTAAAATGATGCATTTTTGTAGAAATTTTCTTACTTATAGAACTCAAAATTCTATCCTTGCACAGGGAATGTCCATATTCTGCTTATTCCCAGGTTTTTACCCCTCTCTCCAAGTTCAAACCTACCAAATCCAGGAGGGGTGTGCCATGGGTCTGGCTAGGGGACACTGTTGTGAATTTAGGAATTTTCAGACCACAGGATATTTATTTTCCAGTTCAGGGCACCACAGGCTTGGCTTGATATCCATGCCCAGCCACTTCCCTCTTCCCAATGCTGAGCACACAGGATTGGGCACTGAACCAGCTCATATTTCATCACTTTGTGCCTTGGGATCTGAGTGGCAATTTGGGAACTGAACCAGGACTGGATTTGCCATTTTTTATCTCGTATTTCACCAGTTTGTGCCTTGGGATCTGAGTGGCAGTTTGGGAACTGGATCAGAACTGGATTTGCCAATTTTTAGCTCATATTTCACCAATTTGTGCCTTGGGATCTAAGTGACAATTTGGGAACTGGACCAGGACTGGCTTTGCTGCTTTCTCCACAGGCCCAAAGAGCAGAATCCGTGTAAAACCCTGGCACACCAGGCTCTCCCAGGGACTGCAGGGAGGAGGGAAGGCAGCCAGGAGGGGCTGAGCACAGAACCAACTCTTTTTAAGAATCCCAGTGACTTTGAATTCTTAAAGCCAGGAGGGATGCCAGGAGCTGATTCACTCCTTTTCCTTGCAGTGATCAGCTCCTGGCATCCCTCCTGCACTGGGGCTCCTGGAACAGCTCCTGGCTCTTCCCTGCACTGGAGAGAAGCCCCAGTGTGNCACCCAGCCCTAGAAAGATCTCGTGCTGCTACAAGGGCAGGGGGTTTGTGCTGGCAGAGCTCAGCAATGTCAAACAAGATTTGAGACCTTTAGTGGGAATCTGGGATATGGACCAGCTCGTATTTCACCCCAATTTGTGCCTTGGGATCTGAGTGGGAATTTGGGAACTGAACCAGTTCAGGCCAGTGTCCAGTGATGCTCTGTGAGGTCAATGTCCACTCTCACAACAGAGAAGCCAAGTTGTTGTTTTGATTTTCTCCCCACTGGAACGTGGTGGGAATGGACATTCAAGGTTAGAACAACACAGAAATGCTGGTTCAGGAATGAAAACTCTCAGCCAAGCAGAGGATTTCCAGAATTCCTGAATATATTAATGAGCAGCCTGAGCTCTCTGGAGAGCCAGAAGTAGGGTACATGAAAGGGGACCACGAGCTGTGCTGGGCTCATCCCACACCCCTGCCTGACTCACAGCATCACCCAAAGGGTTTGCTCAGCTCAGGGGACCCTCCACTAATTAATGGAGCTGGAAAGAAGTTTGGGAAAAAAGAACCAGGCAAAGCAGGGAGGAGGAAGAACCTGAAATAACAACACGAAGACCACGCTCTCCTAATTCTCATTAATGTTCCACTTCCCTCGTGTCCATGGGTACTCTCATCAGAGGAAGGGGAGTTTTGAGCCTTTGAAGAGCTCAGCACTCACGTTCTGAGGGCTGGAAGCTCATCCAGCAGGGATTCACACACGTGGGAAGCAGTGCTTTGTCCTGACATCACAAATACCTGGATCCTGCCTCACCCACGTGTGGCTCTGCTGCATCTGGGAATGCTGCAGCTCCCCTTGGGGGGTCCCTCCCTGGGTGTGACCCAAAGGGACACAGCAAAGAGCTGGCAATGACTCTGTGCGTGGAAATTCCTCTGGGAAAAGTGGGATGGATGGATGGATGGATGGATGGATGGATGGATGGATGGATGGATGNGGGTGGGCAGGGGCTGGGCTGGAATTGCCAGAGCAGCTGTGGCTGCCCCTGGAGCCCTGGCAGTGCCCAAGGCCAGGCTGGAGCACCTGGCACAGTGGGAGGTGTCCCTGGGGTGGAGCAGGATGAGTTTTGAGGTCCTTTCCCACCCAAACCCTCCCATAATTTCCACCTCCCAGCCACTGAAACACTCCAACCCCTCTGCCATCACTTCCCTCATGCCCAGCAGTGCCAGGCTGTCCCTCCCAGCCCCGGTGCCCACCTTGTGCATGACAATCTTCCTCTGGGCCGGCTCTGCCACGTCGATCATCTTCTGCACCACGTAGTTGGCGTACTGATCCTTCATCATGGTGTATAAGGCACTGTGGGGGCCGTCGTTCATGGTGCACACCTCGTCGATGAGCATGGCGCGCTCCGTGCGCGACGCGTGCGTCACACACTTCTCCACCACATTGCTGCGGGGACACGGCCGCGTCAGCGGGAACGGGAATGGGGATGGGAACAGGGATGGGATGGGGATGGGAATGGGGATGGGGATGGGGAATGGGAAATGGGAACTGGGAACAGGGAATGGGAATGGGAATGGGGAATGGGGATGGGAACTGGGAACAGGGAATGGGAATGGGGATGGAGATGGGAATGGGGAATGGAGATGGGAATGGGAACAGGGATGGGGATGGGAACTGGGATCAGGGAATGGGAATGGGGATGGGAATGGAGAACGGGAATGGGGATGGGAATGGGGATGGGAGTGGGGATGGGATGGGGATGGGAATGGGAACTGGGAACAGGGAATGGGAATGGGGATGGGAACTGGGAATGGGGATGGGGAATGTGGAATGGGAACAGGAACAGGAACAGGAATGGGAAAAGGGAGTGGGAACTGGGAATGGGAGTGGAGATGGGAACAGGGATGGGGAATGGGGATGGGAACTGGGAATGGGGATGGGAATGAGGATGGGAATGGGAACGGGAACAGGAACTGGGAACTGGGAATGGGAACTAGGAATGTGAACAGGGAATAGGAATGGGAATGGGAACTAGGAAATGGGAATGGGAACTAGGAAATGGGAATGGGAACAGGGAATAGGAATGGGAACTGGGAAATAGGAACGGAAACTGGGAATGGGAACGGGAATGGGAACTGGGAATGGAGCAGGGAACTGGAAATGAGAACTGGAACTGGGAATGGAGCAGGGATGGGAATGGGAATGGGGAATGGGGATGCGAGTGGGGATGGGGAATGTGGAATGGGGATCGGGAATGGAAGTGGGGATGGGGATGATAATGGGGATGGGAATGGGGAACGGGAATGGGGAA